CAACGTTTTGAACATGTACTTAGTGAATGAATTGGATTTAACGCCATCTTTTGTGAAGGTATATCAGCTATATCACGGCGTTTCAGCTGTATGATGGTGGAAAGATCTTTGCGGTGATTTAAGTAGTGCGTCGAGGTAAATTATAACATCAATGCGTTGTCGTATTTTTGCCACATACAAACAGGCCAAAAAATCAAGGGACAATTACAAAAACAAGCTATGCTGATGATTAATACATCAATGATGAAACCAGTTGTTTTTAGCGAAACGGATGATCATGCTAACTTTAATCACTTATTATCTGCATCCTTGATATAATTAACGTAAGATGTAGAAAACACTCCTCTGCTGTAACCCTTTCAGGCGTCTGTTCTTGTCATCCCAAGATGCTAAGAGCGATTATTGAAGGAATGGTTTTAACGCCGCGTTCTGGAAACCTTTATTCTTACCCAAATAATATACTGGGCACTGGAAGCCCAACTGTGCAGAGTTACGTCCCTCGGCCGTGCCAGGCTCTGCAATGCCTATGCAGACAACCTGTGGTCGTAGCCGTATGTTCAGAACGTTCTATTTCATTGTAGCCGATGATGATGTTTATACAATAGAACTGATTCATGAAGTTACCACACGTGTACAGTAGGATCGTTCAAAGGTGAAGATGATTCATGAAGTTACCACACGTGTACAGTAGGATCGTTCAAAGATGAAGATGATTCATGAAGTTACCACACGTGTACAGTAGGATCGTTCAAAGATTAAGATGATTCATGAAGTTACCACACGTGTACAGTAGGATCGTTCAAAGATTAAGATGATGTTAGGAGGATTGTGTATACTGAAGACTGAATGAAACGGACCCTGCTCAGATCACGTTACTCTTGAAACTTATGGTAACTTCATGAATTAATTCAATCATGTCTAATTATACTTTTGATTCATCCAATGCTTCGTCTACACAGTTATGCTCTCGCTCACACGCCAATAAAGTCACACATGTTAAAGGACGCTTGGCACCAAACATTCAGCCTTAAAGGAATTCGATTTTTGACCATTACTAAACTTGCATTTGTTGTTTTGTTGTATATGTCGTCTTTACGACACTGTCTGTTTATAGGCCACTTGTCACCGTTTTACGGCAAAACTTTGACAGACAAAAAAAGAACAAGAAAAATCATTCTCAATTCATAGAAATGTATTTTCTGAACAACAGTGGCAATATTCATGTAACAACCTTGCTTTTTAATACAAATATAGCTGACATCTCGATGGCTGCAGGGGAAAAGACAAAATATACTATGACATTTTATCTCATACAAAATATTAAAGTAAAAATACACATATCTGGCTAGCTCCGAGTCTAGCGCACAGTTAGTCCGCGAAGCACCTTCGAAAGTTAGGCTAACCAAACCAGCTCTCAATAGCACTCAGGTGTGCCATACCTGTACATATATTAACAGTATTCACTATGCAGGCAGTGTGCCATGTTTACCTGTTTAAAACGGTGGCATATTATAATGCTAAAAAGACTTATTCATTTTTGATTGATCTCGTAAGTACATTCTGCATACAGCATTAATGGTTAACATCATATAAGTCTGTGTTGGCAGACACTTTCCTGGCATTCTTTATCTCGGACACACGGCACATACCATAAGTACGGGTTAACGAGGTGCTGCTGTATCTTATATCCTTCAAAGGCTCGTCGGGGACTGCTTGGCTACACTCAAGAACACCATTTTAAAATCCGATTCGTTTTCATTTTCTTTCAAGTTCGAACCATGACATACTAAATAGTAAACATAGTAATAGAATAGCAGATGGTAGTTTACCTTTCACTTCCCTGACCCTGATGTCTGACCTTTTGTGGTTATGCCGGATAGATTCAAAGACATTTATTTAATTGCTGAGTTAGTGAGTTTGTTGTAACGCCGCTTTTAGCACTGTTCCAGTTATATCGAGGCGTATCAGCTTCATGTGGGAGGAAAGCCCGAAGTGATGCAGGTCTCAGACGTTTACCACTTCGGTGAAACGCACGAGTCACCAAGACAAACCTAGAAACATTTGATTTTTGCGAACATATATCCTCATGCAGCACCTTACCTTATGAAGATGCATTTAATGAGACGAAACACTGACAACATGACAAATGCTGAGGAAAGTGTATGAATAATGTACGTTAATCGTCAATGTCATTATGCGCGTCTGAGTTATCAGTGCATTTGAGTCAACATTACCTCACTGAGCACGAATTAATATGTTAATATTATGTTATTTTCAAGATGTCATACAAAATTAACAATTATTCGGCAATCGATAATCTCACGTGTATGTTTAGATACAAAAATTCCACATGAAAAAGACTGTTTACAGTGGTTACTCAAATCTGAGTCAGGGCTTCAAAACGAGACAATCTTGCCCTGAACAACCATATGTAATAACTAAATTTGATCTCTCCTGGACGTGAGCATTGCCTTGTTTTAGGGCCAAAATACGACCTTCTTGTTATAAATAGTGTTTTTTCTAATCAATATTCATTTTGATAACTATACGAGCACCGATTGTAAACGTGTTGTCTTCGAAATAGTAAGATCGAGGTGCCGCGTTTCACAAATTTAGATGGCTATTCTGTGAAATAGTAACTATCTATTTCTTGTGGAAGAGAATCTTTTGGAAATGTGGACACTCGAGACAGCTTGACCCTTCAATATCTTCCAGAGGTTCAAAGTAGTCCATTTTCCAATACCTACCAATGTAATTTATAGCACTGTAGATTTAGGATGCTGAATTACAAACAAACCAAAGCTAAAATATTGAACTAACGACCTGTTCAGCTGCCAAGTGAAAAGACCAATAGTTAAGGCGCGTGTTAATCAATACAGGGATGTTCGTATCGAGTTAAGATTCACAGGAGACCGAATTCCGTATTTGGATAGCCCCGCGTCTTCAATACGCCCCCACACAGCGTGTTTCAAGTGATAAATTCGGAAATTTATGAGTGTATATGTCTACATGACATGGCAGCGCCGTCGGATGTACAGACAGTGTTATGTACAGAAGCTAGCGGTAGGGATATGAGCGTGTAAAGAGCCTTACAGACACCGTATTATGTCTCTCATAACAGGGTAGGGTTTCCGAAATTGAATAATGAATTATAATAAAGTATCACCCTAACATTCCCTAAGTCAATACCACTATATCATTCTTCTAGATACTTACATATAAACTGTCATTTCAAGAGAATAACCAATCTAGATTCTCCTCCGAAACAGATTAAATTTTTGGCGTAAAGGGGAAAAATAGCTTATATAAATGGACTATTGAAAATCAGTGGAAACACCAGGTGTTCGCGAAAAAGGGTAAGCCCGGGACATCATTGTTAATTAGGATTTGGTTTCACATGGAACAGTTGTTCGTGAAAGTGACTTGCGAACAATCGATAATTTCGCGCATCAAACTTCAAAATTTAATATCTTTAAGCAATTTTTTAATGAAACGGCCTTTTAATTAATACAAGTGGAAACAGATCCGTGAGACATAGGTCCGTGACAAACTGATCCGCGACACACAGATTCGTGACTCAGATCCGTGACCCACTGATCACTGGCATATAGATCAGTGACTCACAGATTCGTCACAAACAATTGCGTGTTCGACCGATTCGTAACAAACAGATCCGTGACCGACAGATTCGTAACAAACAGATCTGTGACCGACAGATTCGTAACAAACAGATCGGTGACTCACAGATCTGTGACCGACAGATTCGTAACAAACAGATCGGTGACCCAAAGATCCGTGACCGACGGATTCGTAACAAACAGATCCGTGACCCATAGATTCGTGATCGACAGATTCGTAACAAACAGATCTGTGACCGACAGATGTATGACCGACAGATTCGTAACAAACAGATCGGTGACCCATAGATCCGTGATCGACAGATTCGTAACAAACAGATCTGTGACCGACAGATTCGTAACAAACAGATCGGTGACTCACAGATCTGTGACCGACAGATTCGTAACAAACAGATCGGTGACCCAAAGATCCGTGACCGACAGATTCGTAACAAACAGATCCGTGACCGACAGATTCGTAACAAACAAATTCGTGACCGACAGATTCGTAACAAACAAATTCGTGACCGACAGATTCGTAACGAACAGATCGGTGACTCACAGATGTATGACCGACAGATTCGTAACAACAGATCGTTGACCGACAGATTCGTAACAAACACCCGTTACCGACAGATTCGTAACGAACAGATCCGTGACCGACAGATTCGTTACAAACAGATCCGTGACCCACAGATCCGTGACCGACAGATTCGTAACAAACAGATCCGTGACCGACAGATTCGTTACAAACAGATCCGTGACCGACAGATTCGTAACAAACAGATCTGTGACCGACAGATTCGTAATAAACAGATCCGTGATGAACAAATCAGTAGCAAACAGATCCGTGACTCATAGATCCTTGACCGACAGATTCGTAACAGATTGATCCATGATGGACAGATCAGTAGCAAACAGATCGGTGACCCATAGATCCGTGACCGACAGATTCGTAACAAACAGATCCGTGACCGACAGATTCGTAACAAACAGATCCGTGATCCACAGATTCGTAACAAACAGATCCGTGACCGACGGATTCGTGACAGATTGATCCGTGATGGACAGATCAGTAGCAAACAGATCGGTGACTCACAGATCCGTGGCAGACAAATTCGTGACAAACAGATCCGTGACAAACATATCAGTAAATTACATTTCCGTGCCAAACAGATCCGTTACTAACAGACCTGTGACAAATAGACTGGTAAAAAACTGATCCGTGACAACAAGGATCCGTGACAAAGAGACACGTACCTGCCAACCATTACGCATCTTTCACCGAGAACTTTGCAACATAACTTTCAAAACAATTATATCAAACTTAGCTTTGAAGTTATTTGAGGCAAATGAGAGGTTATGTGGTAACTGTGGCATCAGAATTACATTGTAATATACAGACGTTATATAATATATTTTAAGTAGCACATTCCAACACATTGTTTTGTGGTCAGTACAATAACACTAATGTTTTCATATACTGGTTTATGGTATCTCCATCGGTTATACATCCATGCAAGTAATGGCTGGAATAGCTATAACATGTGTAGATAAATGACATAATTAAATGAATAAATATGTTTGTTGAAATGTTTCCTAGGCACAGATTCACAGTACTATTAGGGATTTTTGTGCTCACAATCAGAAAACTGCTGCTCAAATGTCCCCACAACGGATGCAATATTATGTAGGTATATCAGACGTTCTCTTGAAGAACTAATTAATACTTTCCATCCGTAATGAGTTGTCAGACAACGAAAAACGTTTCGAGTTGAATTTTTATACAAGTTCAGCAAGTTTTCATGACAAGCATGGCATCGCAAGCATTACAAGCATGACTATATTGTGGAAATATAATAGTTTGAAACAAACAATAAATTAAAATATAAAGTTAACAATGAAGATAACATGGTTACAAACAGTTTTTTGTTAATCGTTTTGATACTACATATATATATCAACAGCAGTCAATCAATCACAGCCTTTTGAGATCAGATCACTCTTAAACTCCGAGCTTCGCTAACACCCGTATTCCAAGTATACAGAAACAAACAGGATACCACTGTACATATAGGGATTGGTGGCTTTAGAGTTCTCTCCCTTAGAGGTCAACGTTCAGTGATCTTATGATAATGACAAGCATTAATCCACAGCACTAATGTTCATGGCACAGCACTTTCGAAGGAGCAACTATTTGGCTTTTGGGAATGTCACATTTAACACAATGGGTCCAGCATCTTAAACATAAGATCCTCTCACGGATAAGAAGTTTCCAGTTTATAAAAGCGTTGCCGTTTTCTTTTGTCCACAGGTGATCATCTTTTTGAAAGCGTACCTGAAATCCTTATTGAAGAATGTGTATATTATAGGATTGAGAGCCGAGTTACAGTAGCCCATCCAGAGGACAACGCCCACCAAGGACGGATGTAGCTCACACTCAGTACATAATGGTTCAATCAGGGCCACTAAGAAGAATGGAAGCCAACACATGATGAAACACCCCATCACTATGCTAAGTGTTTTTGCAGCACGTTTTTCTTGAGACACCGAAATTTTCTTTTTCTTACGACGATTGTCTTTGTTGATGTGCACTGTGTACCGAGAGACTTCATCGACAGAAACATCCTTCTCTTCGCTGCTCCCATCAGCGGGGACTGGAGCCGGCATCAGGAACGTAACACTCTTTCTGTAGTTAGGATTAGAATCTTGGAAGACCTTGAACATTGAGTCTTTTCTTTCGAGAAGGATCGCGGTTTTTATAGAAGCCCTTTTATCGAGAAAACTATCAGTCGTGGTCTCTGAGCTCGCGGTCGTAGATGTTGAAGTAGTTGTACTGCTGTCACTGCTCGGGAGGTTGGAAATCTGACGTATCAACTTCTTTGGGAAAGCTGAGCGAGGAGGGCGGGAGGAACCAGTGTTGGGACCTGAGAGTGAGGGTCGCTGGGGGCATGGTATTTCACTACCATCTACTTGTCCATACGTCCCATACGTTGGCAGTGGGGGCACTTGGGACTCGGGGGTTGAGCTACTTTTTTCTTGAACTGTTTGTTCAGCGTTGTTGGCAGTGGGACATACCTCATTTGAATTTTTCAGACTTAAAAGTTTGAAATTCGCAGCCTCTTGGTCACTATGACGTTCCGTTATCATTTTGCTTGAACCAGGGCCTCTCCGCCATTGTCGAGTCCTTCTACTGGTTACTCTGTATATCCGTATATAGGAAAACAGCATGAAGAGCAATGGCAGATAGAAGGCACCAATGGTAGAATATAGGGTGTAGCCCTTATCTTGAGAGATCTGACACTCGTTCATGTGCGTGTCATCAACAGGCTCTCGCCATCCTAGAAATGGGGGCACAGCAATTAACACAGAATATGCCCAAACTGAGAGTGTCGAAATCATCGCCCTCTTGAAAGTCCTCTTACGGGCGTATCTCAGTGGTTGGGTAATAGCATTAAATCTGTCATAACTGATTACACACAAGTTAGCAATACTGGCCGTACAACATATGACGTCCATGGAGATCCAGAAATCACAGAACGGGCGTCCAAATTTCCACTCCCCGATCAACTGATATGCCAACGCCATAGGGGTAACAAGCGTTCCAACGAGAATGTCGCTCACAGCAAGGTTTATGATGAAGGTGTTCCCTACCTTCCGTAGTCGTCGTTCTACAAGAACTGCTGCAATAACCATCAGGTTACCGATGACGGTTGCGAGGATGATAATGCACGCGAAGATGGTGATAAGAACATTGGTAATAGCGTGGCTAAGGAAGTCGCTGGAATCGCTGTTGCCGGTGTCGTTGAAGTCGGAGGTAGACACTGGCACCGCCACCAGAATTGTCTCCTGCGAAATATTATCAAGCGTCATACCTTGCCAATGTTAAACATCGTTGTCTGTAACTAGCACATCAGTGCATATAGTCCATGGAATAGCACATCCGATGACATCACACCACAACGGAAGCCTACACAGTGTTTCCCAACGACTCACGGCTATCCATATATGGCTGGTGTACGTTTATCTACATACAGGAATCCCTGACGTCTCAAGTGGCTTTGTAGACAAGATCCGCTCTCGGAAAACTGTCAGAATATCTCAACTCCAGTACGTGCTCTGAAAGAAACGATAATGGCATGTCAGTAAGAAGACTGGTCTAGAACATGGAGTCAATGGCTTATACATCATGGAATTCTACCTCGAAGCGGGGGAAGGGAGTTTGTGTCATGAACATGACTCTATGAGATTAATAGCTTAGTAAATGCTATGACAATTCATCAATGTGATGGTCGGTGTATATAACATGAAGAGCATTAGGCATCTATCGTCAATACGTTAGAATAATTCTACAGATTTGGTCGCGCGTGGGCGAGATGGGATAGTCAGGCGATTCAGGGAGTTTCCTTATTTGTCGTGGAAGGAATGATTACACGGTTTTCTTACCGAAATGGACAGTAAAACTACGGTCAATGAATTACCGCTTTATGCTGAAATAGAATTGTGTTGGCGTTGACACACCAGATGTCTGAGTTATGTTTCCTTAACGGACTATGTCAACTGACCGGAAACACGCCATTTACACACGCATGGGATCTTGTAATCGCTTTTTATTACAGTTTTGGTACAGGCAGAAAACATCTTACTATTTATGGTTTCGTGTGGTCTTTCAAAAAGATGAATCAGCACTTCCGTTCTCGTGCTGGTACTATGATAAGAATGTGGTAAAATATTCAGACTTCATTCTTTTATACTCGAAACCAAAGACTGAGTGAGTTAGTTTAACGCCGTTGTCCAGTTATATCACGCCGTGTCAACTTGATATGAGAATAAAATGACATATCAGACACGTTTGGAGGTTGATGTTGCCACGGCAATGGTTTGACGCTCACAAACCAAGGGAAGTATTTGGTGGGGTTCTAACATACCTAAGACACATCATCACTTTCATTGATGACATCAACCAAAGATTTTAAAGTGAGTCTTACATGGTTATACATATGTGTACAAAATGGTTAAATGGAACAGGAAATGGTTAAAATATTAAGTGTCGAAGTACAAATTACATTGTTTATTCTTATTTGGCCATCAACTGCGATGTTTTCGGAATTTGATGCTGCTTTTAACAATTTCTAAGTCCTATGTTGACGGTCAGTTTTAATGTTTGGCTACAACCAATGAATCCAAGGGAGGTTTATAATCAGCCATCCTTGATTCCCTCTCTTGTAGTACAAATACTACATATACTTTTAGACATCAACGTCAATCATCACATCCAACTATATCACACGACTGAAACATATCACTCAAGGCTGACAGAGGAAAACGTCAAACTGCACCAATGCGGTCAATTACAGTCATGTACCCACTAAACAGACCAATATCACGGTGAAACTGAAACTGAGTACCTTGTTGACAAGCTATCCAACTATCACACGTTGTCCAAGCACGATACAATCACACACATTTCAAACGGTGTACTCACTCTGAGCAGAGAGCCTGGACAGTACAACCCCTGTTTTCGTCTCGATAACTACTGTGCTACCTGAGACGTCCATCTCTTATAATATTCCTATGAAATCGATACCAAACAGCTGATCAGCTGACCCACGGAAGTAGGAAGAGCGGGATAATGCCAGTGCACAAATGACACTAAATCCAAGCATTGGTAAAGTGTACTTGGTACCCCTGTTCGATGCTGAATCATAAAGATGGGATGGCGTCGTCGCCCCTCCCTTCCCATCTTCCATGGAATACCCTTCCGCCCACGCCTTCCGTGCGATCTCTACCGTGATACTGTGTGAAAATTATTTGGACGGACAAAAAAGCTTGAGTCGTTCACTGGCATCGGAATGATAGGCTTAAGGGAGGAGTTTAAGATCAATACATACCGCTGGTGTGAGAGAACATTATCCCTTCGCTGTTGTGGAGGAGACGCATGCTTGACATTTATTAGATGAAATAATGCCTTGGAACTATATTACCCTGGATAAAAATACGATGGCGACTATTGACATCCCAACAACTAGAAAATTAATAATGTTCTTTTACGCTTTTCCATATTTTTTTTCAAGTATGCGCTTATAGCAATACGACAGTGTGCGCTTCATGTCTTCGTAAATATTCGTGCTGGCAACTTTATCGTGGTTCACCGTCGTCAGTTTTATTATGCTTCAGGCAGAAGCAACTTTATGTAATAGAAAACTCTGTACTCTGAATACTTAGCACTATAACGATCATATCTGACCTAATTTATTAGTCCTGCGACGGTCGTAGAAGCTACGATCGTTATGAGAAAGAAGGTCCAGTTTTTGTATATTTTATATTAAAACTGAAAACGTAGTCTGTCTCCCAGACCTTAGAGAATAAATTAAAAAAAAGAGTCCAACTTAAATCTATAATGATTTGGTAAGTCTAGATTGCATCAGCTCTACACTTTAAGGATTGTTTTGGGGTGGAGATTCGAACCCGAGTGTTTGGTGTGACGAGCCCGCGCTTTAACCTCAAGGCTACCTTGTGGGTGTTCACATAGGTTAATGATGTTTCCAGGAACGGAGTTATTCGGTCAGATAATGCCTTCATTGGTAGCCATAATTGATCTTGTTAGCAATTACTGCCACGTTGAGTAGCTTTGATCTCCCGCGGTAATACAATAAGATGCTGCACTTCCACCGTGTGCTTAAGAGGTACCCAGGGACATCGCTGTCGAGAGAGCACTATTAGTGATATAGGCTAACAAAACTTATGATCGCTCCCATAAACTTCTGTGCTGTAAACGTCAGTTCCAGTCTGGCGGTCAGCGGCAAGCTTGCCCTCGTGTGACCTAGAGGTCATCGTGGTGAACACTGTCAACTCACGTGCGAGGATACATAGCAAACGGATATATTAACATTAGCATGTAGCCTAGTTGTGAGGTATGATATTACGCGGGGGTATTCCTAGGAAGAGGGTTGCCCTGTGAGGACATAATTTCAATCTGGAAATGTTTTAGACCATTACGATTTGCACACGGCATTTGTCTGACCATCGCGGTCATGGCTGGTTTGCGTGGAACAATTTCGTGATTGATAGGTGTAGGGAAGATACGGGTTTGAATGAACAAAGCACTATATGACGTAAATAGTCATATATGGCCTGTATATAGTAGGGTCTTAAACAGGTAAACAAGCTCACTGATATTATGAGCAGACCCGTGAAGATCCGGGGTAGAATTGGTCTTCAGCAACCCATGTTTGCCGGAAAAGGCGACAATGCTTGTCGTAAGAGGCGACTAACGGGATCGGGTGGTCAGTCTCGCTGACTAGGTTGATGCATGTCATCGTATCCCAATTGCGTTGATCGATGATCATGATCTCAATAACTGGATTGTCTGGTCCAGACTCGATTATTTACATACCGCCGTCATATATCTGGAATATTGCTAAGTGCGGCGTTAAACAACAAACAAAAAATATTATTAGCAACGATACAAGCCGTCGGGGGACATTGTCGCGCCAGTAAACTAAGTCACCGAGCCTGACCATCTGACCCATTAAGTGATCTCTCACGAAAAGCACAGATTGTTGGGGATCAATCCTCACCCTAAATATACACGGATGTAGGGATGGGGAATACAAAATAGATCGGAACATTGGCATTGGTACTTATTCTGCTAAGACAATAATGTAACATCGACGTCAGCCGTATATCGAGTAAATAGCGTTCGAGTTAACCGGATTACCTTTACACAGAAACACACAAGCATGTAACAAATCGAAAATACATATTTCGTTTTCTGGGTTATTAAACACGTGCGAGCACGTCGCTATATTAGTGCAATATTCTTGGACGCGACGTTGAACCCCATTTCACCTCACCAGGGTTTTTAATGTGTATTTCAAAACTTGAAACAGTCAAACCATTTCACGAATATCCGACTTGCACCCTAATTACGAAAATACTTTCTTCACATAAACTGAGTCGGTCTACATTTCACGACCCCTCAGCTAACTGTAGTTCTAGTGACATTTCAAACCCCGATATTTCCTCTCAAATACGGATTGGCTTGAATCATATCATTGTTCTGGATATATAAATAATTTTCACATCACCTTCAAAGGCCTTCACCTTACACAAATATGTCAACTTTCACTCACATAAAAACTACCGCACACCATTTTTCCTAACCTTCATGCTCACGTAATTTGGTAACTGGGCAATGTTTCTTTTCAATTAAATGACGTAATTCCTTCGGTACCAAGTCTTCACAATCGCCTTGGGTCGCATTTGTAGGACCGCGAGTGCCATGTCTTTCGATTCTAAGGACTATTGACTGCACACGGCGTATCATCCGCCTCGCGTCAAGCAGTTGGTGTGATATTAGTCAAACAGTTAATTCCCCGATCTCCGTTACTCGCTGCTTCAAGCCGCCGTTAGTGCTGACACGGATAGCTACAGGACTCCAGCCAGATCGCTGATACTGTTTGGACCCGATGGTGGAGTAAGGTGTGGCGTGACGTGAGGTGTCTGCTACGTCTCCTGACTCTACTGTCAATAATTAAGGGTGTCATGAATGGTTTAAATCAGTCAGATAATCACTTTTAGTTCTTAGAACGGAATGGTCAGAATGACAACGATTCCATGCCAAACAGATCATCGTGATTGAAAGGACGTTATAATTCAAATGGAAAGTATCTAATAAAAGGACGAAAAGAAACTTTTAAATGTTTTATATTCATATGTGACAACTGCGAGGTAAACACTAGTATGCATGTGTTACACGGACCGGTGGGATAGCCCAGCGGTAACTGAGCTAGCAGAAAATGAGTAATCACGTGTGCACCATATATGTGTCCCTTCATTGTTTTTTCCCCACCGTTGGCTTAAATTGTGCCAAACGTGGCATAAAACAATAGTCAATCCTAATTAGTAAGATCACTCCTACTGGTTAAACATACATGCAGTTTCTTGGTATTTCAGCATCTTACTCTCAGACACAAAACTGGCTGCTTGCGAAGATGAAGGCTGCTGTTTCCCACACACTCTTACATCGAGAAGTACATCATCTCAAACAAAGCTGCACAGTGTGTCACGGGGAAGAACATTCCAAGACCCGGTGTAAACCATGCAAGAGGAAGACG